GCTTTACAATACTAATTCCCTTCCGTTGGGGGGGGGGGGGGAGATTGAGAGAGAGAGCGAGGAAGAGAAATGGCGTTTTCGGGGACGCAGCAGAAGTGCAAGGCGTGTGACAAGACGGTGTACTTGGTGGAGCAGCTCACGGCTGACGGGGTCGTGTATCACAAGTCCTGCTTCCGATGCAATCACTGCAAAGGGACGCTTAAGGTTCGTGTGGGGGTTGTGATTTGCTGCTGATGCTGCTTGTGGGTTTGTATCGGGGTTGGTATTAGTGATCTGGTGTCCCGTCCATCGGTCGATCTGTGTGTGCGTGTGTGTGTTGGGTGGGAGAATGTGGGGGAGGGGGGGGGGGATCTCCTTGGTGGAGCCATAGATTTTTCAGCATGTCTCTGAAACAGGCTTGCAGCGGCTTGGTTCAGTAGAATGGCTTTACCACAAACTTTGAGTTACATCCTTAATCTTCACCCCATCCGGTCCTCTGATAGATCTATGCGAGTACCTATAGGTTTTCCCTATCCCTTCGATTCCAGAGAAGTGATGCAGCGGATTCCTGTGCTGAATCCATGGCCTCCTAGTCTGAACGGATTCGCGCTATGATCCGAGTGTTTAGTTAATAGATGAGCCAGAGAGGTTTGAAGTCCGTCTTCGAGGAATGACATCAGAAGCAAGACTAAAAAGTAATTGCTAATACAATAGTGGCCAATGTGCTCTTCCTTTCCAAAGGTTTTGTTGGCATCTCTTCTTCCACCTCTGGAATCGGATTAGAGTCTTCAATTGGAACGATAAAGTACGCGTCACCGTTAGAAATTGAAGTAATGCGGTGTATTTGCGAAAGTTTCTGAATTTCCAATTGCTCAAATGACGGGGAATACCAGATAACACGAGTAGTTTTGTACTGGTGGTGCAGTAGCGAATTTGGATTGTCGCGCTGTTCTGCCGAAATTGCGTATGGAATTACTGTCCTGTTATTAGCGTATATGAAAGCTCAGATGATGCTGTGACATGCGACCTGGCCTAGTCGTCGGATCTAATCCACCCGACAATTTGCCATTTAAAGAAGCTTACTGTTGTCAGTATTTCTTGTTGCTGGATAGGTATTCTAACCCACCCGATTTTGCTATGTCTATCACGTCTTTTGTGAAGTGATGCAATTAACTCTTTTATGCAAACAGCTGGCAAGTTATGCGTCCCTAGAAGGAGTGCTTTACTGCAAGCCACATTTTGAGCAGCTTTTGAAGCTTACTGGAAGCTTTGATAAGAGTTTCGAGCACAAACCTTCTGAAGGTTTGTATTTCTGAACCTATCCTTGTGTTCGTCTCCTGATCAATTGTAAACTTTCTGTACCCTGTTTTGTTGGTGGAACACGAATGTTGTTTTCTGAATGGGTATTGTTCTATACTGGGCGGACAGCAGGATTGAAAAAGCTTCCCGAGAAAGGAGAGGTATGTTTTGAATATTCACTTTTTGACAGTAGTTAAATATCTTTGCGAAGGTCTTACGGATTCAATTCCCGGTCATCCTAGATATTCAAATTTGATTTCGGCGAATTTTTTGGTGTCAATTTTAGAAATACGAGGTTCATTGTCCAATTTGGTGATCCGAATTGAAAGCGGAGGACTGTGTTAAAGATAACATTTTCTTCAGGCAAATAGACGGCTCGCGCATTGCCTTCCTCTGCTGCGGTGTGTTTTTTTCCGTGCTCAGAGTGAGGAGGTGAGGTACATGTTATGTACAATTTTACTTATATAATCAACTTTGTGTCAACAGAAGGTACCTTCGAAGGCTTCACTTATGTTCTCTGGAACTCAAGACAAGTGCATTGCTTGCAGTAAAACCGTGTATCCAATTGATAAGGTACAAGTTGTACATGTCTACAAGTGCATTGCTACCTCGTGGGATTGCTGATTTTGAAAATTGTAGTGTCAACTTAAATGTTGGCTGTTATCACCGATGACATTACTTTATTTATCTGATATGTTTTGGACTGTCCGCAGCGTGAGCAGCTCTCTTGCTGGCTCTCCACAGATACTAACCGTGCACTTGGCGTGGCTTGATTTGATAGCATGCTGCCCCTGAATCATGGGGACACAGTTGTTGGATTTTTGCTTCTAATGGGACCAACTTTTATCTAGTATACGTGTAGCACGTTGCGATTTCTCGGGAATTTCAGGAATCTAGGCCAGCTGTTCTGCACTTTCTTTGTATCATAACTAACGTGGAATTTTTTCTTTGTATTGGTTGTGATAGACAACGGTTGAGGGTTTGCCGTATCACAAGCATTGTTTCAAATGTGTTCATGGCGGCTGTACCATCAGCCCTTCCAACTACGCGGCTCTAGAAGGACGATTATACTGCAAACCTCATTATTCGCAGCTCTTCAAGGAGAAGGGAAACTACAGTCAGCTGACGAAGGTGCCTGCCCTGAAGGTAGCTGCCACCAATGCAAGCGTGGAGTCCTAGATTTCTCCTACTGGTCGATTCCTGTCTGGCTTGAGTCTCTCCAAATTCACGCGCAAGTTAATCTTGAAATGGGTTTCAGAAGGTGTTCTGTACAAATGATATGAATTTGCCAGGGTATCTATTTTGGAGATGGTTTCGGGTCTCGCTTTCCAAGGAATTGATTCTTACTGTTTCGAAGGTTCAACTTTGTTTTTGTTTCCCTGATTAATAACTCTCGGAGGCTTAGGGTTCATCATCTGGCAAGTCTCCTATTTATCTATTAAAGCTCTCCTGTGGTGTTGAAAAGAGATGCTGAAGTTGAAGCTCAGTAGAACATTGTTCTGTGTGCATTGGTAAGTTTCAGGTCGTATACATATCGTAATCCAAATGAACTTTGTCTGAGTAATTCGTATAGGACTGGGAAGATTGTAGTATGTAGCTTGGGTGTCATATTATTGACCATGTATTTCAGATGCAGTGTTTACCATGAATTCATGGGTTCCAATTTATCAAAGAATGCAGTAATGCAAGGATCTGCTTCGTGCAAGTGGAATGCCATGGTGGTGTTCATAAATGATTTTTTTGAACTGTTTTGTAAATCCGACTTGTTGATGAGACGTTTCATAGTTTCATTTTGAAGAGCTTTAGTGCATTCCACACATTTATGCTGATGAGTCATTCTGGATGTTAGTCCCTAGTCTAATGCATGCACAATACTCTAACAACTGCACAAATCACTGTCTCCTGTGTTAATCACTGTCATCCTGTGTTGATGCAATATCCAAAATGACAACTCTCCTCGAACGTGACATTTTCCCTCTAAAGAGCTGCGCACGTTATCACCAGTTTTGCACGACGTATTCACTTCCCAATGCGTAGTCAAAATCTATGAACAACTCTTTCATGTCATGTATGCTCTTCTAATTAGTGAAGATTATGTTAGCCCTAAACCATCCAGTTGTTAACATGTGATTGAAGTCCGATTCTCTCTACGATATACCGAGGCGTTAGTTGAGTCTAGGTCGTTAATTATTCCTTGAAAGCACTAGCTGAGCTGAGCAGAAGATATCTCAACCAATCTGCATTAGCACCCACATTCTGCGAAGGGTACAATGACAGCAACCCCCCCCCCCCCCTACCCCCCCTTCTTTTTTTCACTCAAATCATTCCAAGGCATTCTAATCCGCAGCACAATAAACTTCTGACGGCGACACAGACACGGATCACTTCGGTGACCACAAGAGGTACACTGCGTAGCTCTGAGTACAACCGTCAAGCTTGTGGGTGGCTTTGTCCACAGAAGCTGTTGCAGAGTGTGACTGCAGACTGCTCTTCAGAGATGCTGAGTATCTTATTTCTGCACCCAGTTGATGTGTGGCAGGCTTCTTCTTCACTTTTGCATCAGGTCAGGGCCACCACAACTCCAGCACACAAACTTGAGGAAGAAGTCGAGGAAGACGAAGAAGATGCTCTTGGAGGAATGCACTCTGCCGTAAATGTGCACAGCTTGTGAGGCACTTCACCAGGTGCATGCTTTGTGGCTTTCAAGCTTTATGAAGTGTTTGTTTTCTTGTGAGATGTATTCTTTTGTGCTTTGGAGGCACTTTTGTGACAACAATTTGTTACAAGAGGAAGTAGGATTATGTTTGTTGCAGAGAAATGGTGAGATTGTTCATGGTTTTGGAAGAGTCCTTGAAGTTTAAATGTGGTGAATACTCCGTACTTGAAGCGTTTTGTTATGCGTGTTTGTTTCTCCATTACTTCATCCTCTATTCATGCTTTCCACAAAAAAAAACTGTAATGAACAAGATGAAGGTGACATTTGGTGTCTCCTAAAATACTAATGCAGGTATATATGTGTATATATATATATATATATATACACACTCATATGTGATGGATAGAGGTTAGAGTAAAGCCTACCTAAACCAAACAATTTCAAGTGGTACCACATTTTGCATAACAAGTGTGCATAATGATAAAAAAATTAATTTTGTACTGATATTTACACTTAGAATTTGCAATTGTGGACAATACCATCTTTCTTTGATATTATTTTGAAATTGAGATAGTAATTTTTAAAAAATTCTTTGTAATAGTTGTTGTAATTCAAATAAGAATTATATTATATGTATTGGCAATAGATTCAATATGATTTATTTATTTTTTTATATATTTTAAAGTATTTAGCCAAAAATAATAATTATTAAATAGATTGATTTTGTAACTTTTGGAATGAAGACCTAAGCAATTGCAAAGAAGGCACAAATAATTTGTTGATAAGACCAAATACTAACTTGGATTACTAACTAATCTAAGGTTATGAATTGATAAATCCTCTAGAAAAAGATGATAAGACCAACAAAAGCTTAAATAGTCGCATCCTTATGGTAAAAAACGTGCAATAATTTTTATTTATTTATTTGAGAGTATATATATATATATATATATATATATATGCATCAACCAAAAAATTAGCTAAGAATAAAAAATATATTTATTCATTATTAAAACGAAAGACTTTATTTTATATGTAATTATTTTATTATATTATTTAAGAAATTATTATTATTTTTTAAATATTTTAATAAACTTTTTTTATCATCTTTTACAAGCAATAATATAAGGTTGATGAATGCTTATATTAACTAGAAACTAAGACATAAAAGTTAGTTCTATCACATCTAATTAATATATATATATATATATATATATTGCTTATGCTACCATAGTTTTTGCTAATGTCACTACAATTTGCCATCTACCACATATCAACATACTTTTTGTTATTGTGACTTCAACCTCATTCTTATTATGTTCTTAATTATTTTTATTAAAATAAAATTTATTATATATATAAACTTATTTAAAATAATATGTTTAAAAATTTTAATTTTTAAAAATTTAAATAAAAAAATAAAGAAATAAATTGAATAGGTAGTGATTTGTAGTAGCAATAGCAAAAACTGTGGTGATAGTGATAAAAACTATGGTGGCATTAACAACACCTTTTATATTCATATTTTAAATTATCAATAATGCAATAAAAAAAAATCATTGTCTTTGAATGTGGTTTATTTCAAAACTTGATTTGACATGCTTCAACCATAAAGTACATATTATATATCACAATCAAATACAAAAATATGAGAAATCATCTAAATGATGTTCTAAATACAAATATTTTTAATTATAAATCTTATATTGCATCATATATGTATTGTGATTTATGTATTGCAACTTTTGAGCTAAAAAATTAGATATATATATATATATATATATATATATTCATCTATATATGTATTAGGTACCAAGTATTTCTACAATAGTTTTCTATTGCAATTTAAAATTTTTGTGGCAAAAGTGAATAAGTAAGAAAACTTGGAATTTGAAATGAAAATAAATAATATTTATTTTAAAAAAAAAAGCAATGCAAATAAGTAATAATTCTTATATAAAACAACTCAAAGGGAGAATAAATACATGAGATAAATAAGAAGAAACAAAAACACTTTGTAATTAGCAGCATGCATTATTGTTTTCATCAAAAGTTTTCATTAAAAGTGAAGCAAAATTGGAGTTCATAGGATCTATGTAATATTATGACTAAAGTTGTTTTAAATGAATTCTAGCTCAATGTTTGCTCAAAATACCTAACATGTCATTCCTAAAATCCAAAAAGATGCCCAATTTTGACTAATTTGTATAAAGAATTTACATTGTTGTAATATAATCTATGAGAAGGAAAAGAAGGATGTTGGATTAACTTTGTATTAAGAGATACATGATGGAGTTTTATTTGCACTAATTGGAATGGAGTACATGTATTTTGCAAACTTGCCCTCTATTGCTTTAAATCTTTACAAAGGTAAAAAAATCCTTCTTGTTCAGCATATTCACATTTAGCATATTTAGTTACAGTATATCGTGCTAGCAAAGCCTGATTGATTATTAAAATTGATGAAAATACAAGATGTCACAATACACATTGAAAAAAAAAATATTGGTGATTTGCACGTGCAAATTTTGTACTTCAAAAAGAAATGTGCAAGTACATTGTCTTAAAGGAACTATAGTTAATGGTTATTGCTACTATTTTTGCTCACAAATGTAAGGTAGAGCCTTGAAAAGTTTGTTGAGAATTTTGTTGATCAGGTTGTAGGATTTATGACTTTTAACTTTGTAATCTATATTCTAAGGTCTTTGGATTCTTTGTCTTTAGTATAAGCTAGAACACTATGAGTGATTTTTTCATTGTTTTGCATAGCCTCTATAACAATTGTGTTTATTCAACTATGTCAAGAGACAATGGTGGTGAATGTGGAGCCAAAATTTGGTGCTCATTTTATTTGCTTGGATGAGATTTGGATTGATTCTACTACTAGACATAAATATAATATTTTACTATGAATATAAACAAAAAAAGACAATGAGTGGCTTAGATCTTATATTGTATATAGATGTCTATAATTTCATTCAAAATCCACTTTTGTAGGTGTGATGGTCTTTATCCAAATGAAATTTCTAAAACTTTTTAAACTAATGTAGACTATGGCCCCTTGATATCTTGGCTCCTTGAGATGATGGATGAGATTTAGAAGCATTTCAACATAGAAGTAATCAATTTTGTTTCAAAACTATGTGGTGAAATTGAGCTCCTCATTAACATTGTTCATGGATGAGGAATTATATCATAGGTAGTTGTGGACAAAAGTAGATCTAATTCAAATTATGATGAAAATATTGGATTTATCCCAATGCAAGTTATTGCCACTTCATAGGGCAAGGTGAGTCCTTAGACCTCAAATAAAGACACTACTACAGTACACATTTTCTCAACATCTATCTGAAGCTTGAACTTGGGTTGTATCCTCTTCAACGTCACAAAAATATTCTTCTCTCAAGCTAGATAATGAGGTCAATGATCAAAGATTTTGAAGTGGTTCTGTTTCAGTTTGTAGAGTAAGATACAGACTGATTCCTCACTTTGAGAAGTTTGAAACCATGTCAAATGGAAAAATAAGGTAGTGCTTTTTTGCATCCTAAGGTGCCTAATAAATAAGTATATACATTCTTTGAGCCATACAATTCTAGATGGATGGCTGGAATTTCACATGCACATGTATTGTTTTTGAAATTCTCATATTTAGTTTTGATTTTGTCGCCATCAGTGGACACAACATGGTGGACACACTGATAAGTTGGACTGGATTCTTTGTGCTATGTGATGCACCTCAGTTCAATTTGTTCATCATTGTTGGATCAAGCCATTTGTTCTATCATTTATACACTGCAACTGCCAGAGATGCTTCAGTCATCCATGAATATTAGAAGAATTCATAAGAGAATAAAATAATTTAAAAAGCTGAAATGGAAATAAGCAATTTGGTACATACCAAACATATGACTTAGGGAAAACCAATCATAGGAGCATGTTGTTCTATCAAGAGTAATTTGGAAATTTCAATAATTATATGTTTCATCAAAAGATTTGGCAATATGGATGAACCATAGTTGCTCTATGACCTTGACCAGGGTTTTCCAATTTTTCTAGAAATTGTTGGTGACGTTTGT